TAATTAAGCTTTTTGTAAAAGCTTCTTCCTTTCATTAATGAAAGAATGAAGCCGTTACATGCAAATACAGGACCGCAATTTGCGATCCCGTATTTGACAGCTGGAAATAGCAGAGAGGTAGCAGTACCTCACCTCTCTGCTATTTGTTTTGACAGCTCGAGAGCCAATGTTTAGATACATTTCACTCAAAAGATACAATGTATATCTTTTGAGTGAAATGTATCAGTTCTGATCGTCTAGGCACGATCAAAGAGCTTTTAGTGAGATCTGAATCTGACAAAAGTCAGGATCAGTCTCTAAGGTTATTATTAGCTGTTTTTAAGTTTGGATCAGCCTAATAGCCAAAAATTAAAAAAAAAAAAGTTAATTTATTATTAAGCAGTCATAGTGACTGCTTGATATAAACTGACAAGGAAAAAAAAGTTGTTTTTTTTTACAAAGTGTAAAAAAAAATTAAAGTATAAAACAAAATTAGGAAAATAAAAATTATATATAAATATATTTTTATACTATAATTAATATAAAAAAATTCTAAAAAAAAAAATAAAAAATCAAAACTTGTGAAAAAAGGGTTTTCTTCTAGTTTTTTTTCCTAATTTTTTAATTTTATTCAAGCTAAGTGAGGGGTTAGGTACACATGTGATATAATTATATAGCCCTATCTGTCCTCTAAAAAACTATATATGTGTGGGTACATTTAGTAAGAAAGTATATTACTGCTGTGGAAGAATCACACAGCAAAAATGTAAAAAGTGTGTCAGTCATTTATGAACAGAACCTGAAAACTAGCTCAGTCATGAAGGGGTTAAACAATTTACAAAAGCACAATAAGAGGGGAATTGAGCCGTTCATAAACATTAAAATCCTCCCATACAGCAGAGGCTCAGTTGTTTATAAATATACTGAGTCATTAGGTGAGGATGTTCCCTAATCTGTGATACAAAAAGAATGGTAAGCGGATACTAAACTAGAAACCCGTAAACCTATGACAAGACGACCAAATACTCACATAAAACCTACCTGATATATTGCTACAGATTGGCATATGTTGTCAACATTAAGTAGATAAAATCCATAATCTAGTAGTGTATCTGAATATTTAGGATGCTTACAGCCAAAATTTTCCCTGTTTAGGAGAAAATAAAAATACAATAAAAATGACATGCATATTATGTAATCAAACACGAAAATACTTTAGGATAATGGGGTTTTTTGTTTTAAAAGAGCATACCTAGCCAAGTATACTGCATGTTTTATTAGTTGTTCTGCCTTCTTAAACTCTCGTTTTACCACACAAGCCTTTAAAAGAAAATAAACACAGTCAGCAAACATAATTTTAACCTGACATGAGCACTTTAAAAAAGGCAACTATGGCTTATATCAAGAGAGAAGATATATAGAGTTACTTGGAGTTCCACACACATATACAGTGGGACATTTAGAGATGTAGGTACAGAAAACTCCCTGTTATCCTACATTCACAGGGATTGGTAGATTCCAGATAAATGTAGTTTCTGGTTGCTTGAGACTTACTATTAAAAATAGGTTCAACTAATGCTGTACCGCATACTAAACTAGAGCTGCAACAACTATTCAATTTAGTTGATTAAAAACGTTGTCAACGTTTTCCATCATCGATTAGTCAGCTATCAATTAAATTGCCTGTTTGCGGCTCCACGCCACACCCACGCTGGTTAAGCCGCACAAGCGGGGGACATGCCTCTGCTCCTCTTCTCCCTGTGAGCTTCCTGACTCACCGCTGCCCGCCGACAATCAAGGGCCCACGATTCAAAGTAAGCCACTCAGCAACGAGATTCTAAACCCTTTTAAATTTTACCCATAAAAAAAAAAAAAGCGGCACACTGCAGAACACCAGCAGGTATAGAGGAACAACAAATCCCAGCAATAATACATTAAACAGCCTGTATAATTCATTATTGCAGGGATTTGTTGTTCCTCTATAACTGGTCAGTGGTATTCTGCATTGTGCCATATAAATCATTACACAGCGCAATGCAGAATACCACCAGCTATAGAGGAATACAAATCCAAGCAATAATACATTATACAGCGCAATGGAGAACACCAGCAGCTACAGAGGAATACATCAGATTCCACAATAATACATTATATACAGCGAAATGCAGAATACCAGCAGCTACAGAGGACTACAAATCCCAGCAATAGTACATTATAGTATAATGTACTATTGCTGCGATTTGTTGTATTCCTCTAAAGCTGCTGGTATTCTGAATTGTGCCGCTGTATAATGTACCATATTGCACACTACACTTTTTTTCTTTTACTGCCACCGCTCCAAGCTTGCTCCCGTGATGGACTACAAACTGATTAGAACGTAATAAATCGGCTAACTAATCGATTTTGAAAATGATCGTTAGCTGCAACCCTATACTAAACCATACCATAAACTCTGTATTGACTGCATATTAATTAATTTACAGAGTGCATGAAGCTGTCGGCACCCTTTCAGTTGGCATCCCTCAATCAGCTAATTGAGGGAGCTGGCCGGAAAATCTTCATACGATCAGAGCCGGCAGCCAATTAACCGCCAGCTCTGTTGGGGTATTCTGACAGAATACTCTCATAATTCTGTCAGGATACAATGCAAAACAGTGGGACTCCTTGATAGCCACGCTGGTACTGGAGGAATTGGGCCCCAATTTTTTCCTTCAGCCCGCGTGTTGAACGAGAAAAATAGAGCAGTGTATGGCCAGCCTTAGTATTAGTGCTCCAATACAGTGTGCACTGGGGCTGCCTGACAGAGGGACTGGAGATCTACGGTATACTGTACTGTAATCCATGGGAAATATGGTACTGGGAGTGATCACTAGGTGGCGCTTGTTCACAGACGATCGTTCAGACACTCAGAAATTATCACAGTATAATACAGCACATTTTAGCCACGATCTTCTACCCCTTCTACTTTTCTAATTTTTTTGCTGGTTAGATTGGAGCTTCGCTTGGTTGAATACCGGTTAACTGAGTTTACTGTACATGGTTACATACATTTAAGACTAAAAACTGGAGGAAGGCTAGGAGTGGGACAGGTTATATAAGGCCATCCTAAAGCTTTGATTGATTGGCTGGTGCCCAATTATCTGAAGGTAGCTGCATAACCCAGTGGTCTAATTAAAAAAGAAGTATTGGAAGATGCAAAATGTACTCTTCCCAATACATAGAGCCAGCGTGTGACACTGCAGGTGTCCCATGCCAGCTCTATAGATCGAGAACTGAGCAATCACAAACCCCTCATGCTCCTCTCCCTGTAGAGCCAGCTGTCATTCAGGCAGCATGGCGTATCCTGGCAAGATCATCGGAATCTTTCCCAGCTGCAGTGCATAGCGGGCAGTAGCCAGCTATCTGCTGACTTTAGGGCACTGGAGTACATTAGTAAATGTGCTGCTTTGTCCTAAGAAGGCTAAAGTAAAAAAAAAGTTTAGCTTTAGTGCTCTTAACTCGCTGCAAAGAACAGCAGGGACTTTCAAGTGTTCTTAACTCTGCACTGTACCAAGACCATGCGGACAACACTTTAGTATTTTTTTTCCCACTTTTAAACCCTGTTAACTTACTGTTGCTTATGCCCGTCTTATATTCTTTTATGTAAATATTTAATGTACTATTTTTCTTTTTATTAAAACTATATTCAAAATGATTAGGCTCAATCTCAGAATGTTCTAAGGAACCTCTTCAAAGAAGCTACCATAGTGTAAACTGTTACATTCTTGTCTGGGCATGGTAGTGAGCAATACATTTCTGAAAGGTTAGAATCGCAACAGCATTGTAAACAGTGCGCGTTTCCACTAAAAGATGTGGTGGCAACTACTATGCGAGTATACAGAGGGTTAACTGCTTAGCTGTAAGACCCCAGTGATTTTTACTCGGAGGGCGAGTAAGTCTGTAGTGGTCACATGGTTTATTACAAATCATTGTTTATCCCCACACCATGTTTTAGGTCAATCACAGGAAGCCCAATCTTCCAGCCAGATCTTTACCAGACTGGTTCATAAACATTCTAAACTCTTGGGATGAGGATTACACAAGCTTCAACAAAACTGCTTATATACCCACACATAAACTGACTGATGCAAATACTCATACACAAATTTTGATTCCACCAGAACCAGGGAAATCAATTATTTCATAGTAGACATGGGATTGCATATTAGTCCAGAAATTGCATGAGCGGCCATCATAGTAACCTGTATATGGATACCTCCAGGAAAGTTTAGGAAAAACTTCAGACTGAGCCATTTGATAGAGGGCGAGTCTATGAATGATGTTGTACATACCTTGGACGCTTGCCTCAAAACATCAACAACCACTTTTACTGGCAGGCCACTTGTGATTTCCTTCATAGCTTCTATGCACCATTTATAAGCCTGACAAGAGATTCAAACACAATACATTGCTGAAAAAACAAAACCCCCATCGAACACAATGAAATTATAGCTGAAATGTGAGCATGGCTAAGGAGCTTAGCTGGTGAAGAACAACAAATAAACAAGAGCTAAAAGAGACAACGTTTCTTTTCAGGGTAATGCTAGCCATACACAGCTAGGATTTCACTTAAGAAAACCAATTGATTTCACTGTCCAAGCTAAACAGCGAGGACGAAAGACTCCCCAGTGCCAGCTAGGGTACCCGTGGTTGCCTGCATACTCAAACAATGACCACCTTTGACAGGATGCAGTCACTGTTCAGCTGATAACATTCCACCCGACTCAGTCATATTTTTAATTTATTTTTTGACTTTTGTAAGTTGGGTGGGCCACCATGGCTCAAACTAACCGTTTACTCCAAAAGCTTTACAATGATCAAAATATATTTAACAACTAGCATATTACCTCATCATAATGACTTTTAGCAAAGAGCAGAGCACAAAGCTCCCCATAAAGAGCAGCTTTGTTTGCATGTTGTCCATGCTTTGCCAGCTTATCCATGTAACTTTGCGCTAGCTTGAAAGTTTCCTCCCCCAAATGGTATTTGCAGTTGCCATTTCGCACATGCAGCAACCTAAGAAAAAAAAAACAAGACAATCATGATCTTCAATACATTCTGCCTGGCCTTAAAAAACGTTATTCACCCATTCGAGGTAAGGTAACATGTTTGCTGGCAAGTCCGCCCCCTCCTCTGCTAATTATTACCTTCCCCTCATTTTGCCCACTAGAGTCTCCTCCAAATTTTACATGTAAGATCTAAAGTTAGCTCTGGGTAGTATCTCACACAGTGTAAGGCCCAATTCACACTTGTGAATGAGGCTGATCGCACGAGTCTCAAATTCCTCCGTGAGACTCATGCGATTTGCTGCGGGCAGGAGGTGCTCCACAATAAAAGCACAGCTGCCACCACCAGCAGAAGTTTGCATGTAGTTACACAGGCTACGATTACCTGTGGATGACTGGTGACATCCGAAAAGCTGCAGGCACAGGCAGCTGTCATATTGTACAGAGCCTCCTGCATGCAGAAGATTGCATGAGTCTCACGGAGGAATTTGAGAGACTCTGTGCAGCTGTGAATGGGGCCTACAACCTACCACCCCCATGTGAATGCATTGCCTTGGCGATTGGCTGCTCAGGTACATTGTGCAATGGAGGAGGAAGGTGAGACATCACATGCTTCCTCACAAGATCTACAGCTTTTTTTGTACTTATCAAATATAACTAAATGCTTCCAATTATATAAACAGGACTAAAAGTGAGCATATAAAAATGATAATTGTTAGGGTTTACATACACCTTAAACATGAACTCTGGATAAGTAAATATGATCTAAACATACGAGGCAGATGTAATCACTATTTTTTTCCCCCCTAACACAAAGCCAATGATAATGCCTATAAATTGCAGATACGCTACAACAACTAATGGTGTATTTGATACATAAAGAAAAAAATAAATAATACTGGCATACATACCGCACACAACATTCCACTGCTCGAAACCAATGCAGCATTTCATTGGGAAGCGTGCAAAGCTGCAGACAGGAGAGGAACACCTTCTCAGCATCACTGTACCAGCCAGCATCTGAGAGGAAACCACCTATATATAAACAAAAAAAACAAAAAAATTCATAATATATTTATTAGTTCTATTTAGAGCTGAACTCCATCCTCACCTTTAGTCTTGCATAGTTGTACAGGCTCCTCTCCGGTACTGAAATTGCTTACTCTCATTTCACTGAACAATGTGCAATTCTCACTCTTACTAGCATCTGTGCCGATAGGGTTGAGGCGAGTACTCGTACTTGCCCAAATGCTCCGATACTTAGCCCCAATACTGGAATTTCCGGTCAGAGAGAGATGTCCTCTGACCGGCAGTGCTGCGAGGGAACATGGAGGGGGCTTTCTGGTCAATCAGGAAGCCTGGCTTCTTGATTGGCTGGGAAGCCGGCCCCCCAGCCAATCAGCATCATCCCGACTAAACAGCATGGAGCCAGCTTCCCAGGCAATCAGGAAGCTGGGTAATTACTTGATAGCATACAGCTGGCTTCCCAGGCAAACGGAAACACCAGTACAATAAATAAAATATCTATAAATAATTTTTTTGCAAAGAGCTCTACTCATTATAAATACAAGATATCTTACCAAGAACAAAGCCTATCTGAATTGCCTTTTCTTTAACATGGGCATCAGATTCTGCAATGTAAGAACAACGTCTGCTAAAAGAATATGCCAGGACAGAGGCAACCTTTACGCCATGGTCCATTAAAGCTTGAAAGCAGTGGTGCAGTAGATGTCTAGGAGAAAAGAAAAATAAATTGAGCAAGATGTACAAACATGCTGATTAAATGTACCAATTCAATTTTATTAATAGAAAATGTTATGTTGTAAACCATGCATGGCAGATACAAATTAAAGCATAAATTAAATTTCCCTGTACCTAAAGAATAAACCCATATGGCCCGAGGTTGGTCAAATATATACAGATAAAAACAAACCTTTAGCTTATATGGAAACTCCAAGGATTCATATGGTAGATAATACAATTTGAGATACATTAACAGGAGTGTCAAACACCTTTGTCTCCCTGCCATGTGCTGTGGTTCTATCCGTCATCCCCTATGCCACTACAGGGGGTGGGGGTGGGGGGGGAGGCAGCCCAAACTTCTGAAAGGGTTAAAATAAGAGACTGAATGTGTTGCATAATGCTGCTCCCAGAATTACCAGGATGTTTAGGAGAGTGGCAGTGGCTGTTATCAGAGAGACAGGTTTGCTTTAAAAGTGCCTTACATTTTATCTGGACAAAACACTCATGGTTTTTCTTGGAATTTGGGAAAGGGGGAAAAAGAAACCTTATGGTTCTTTAAACAAGGCACCTGTCAATAAGCACATTAATCTCATGTTACCACATATTGGAAAACATCACCAAGGATGATGGATGGCATTGCCAATTTTACTAGCTCACAACATAACTCACTGCAATTTTTAGTCTCATTATAGTTAAATAGAAATTCTGCATCATAACTCACTGCAATTTTTAGTCTCATTATAGTTAAATAGAAATTCTGCATCATAACTCACTGCAATTTTTAGTCTCATTATAGTTAAATAGAAATTCTGCATCATAACTCACTGCAATTTTTAAGGTTGTGTAGACTTTTTGCATGTATGGCACAGAAGTATGCCACCTTCTCTGAACATACAGAAACAAATCTAGAACTTTTTCCATGTCTCCGGTCCTCAACCATGGGGATAAGCAAAATCGAGTCACAAGAGAAAAAACCCCCCCAAAAAAACAAAAACCCTGGCATTGCAGCCGGTAAAGCATTTCAACCGCGATCAATGGCTCAAAGGTGCAATATTCTGGCTCCTGCAGATTCTCTCCCTCCCGGGGTATGGTCATTCAGTATAAAATGACGGCGGAAGAATGAATGGACTACAACTGCAATGATGTCACGAGTGACTGCCATGGTGTCGTGGGGACTTGCAGTTTTTCAATTCATAATGGAGCAACACAGCCACTCTAAAGAGGAGCAGCCTGAAAGAAGAACCCCACAAATCAGGTAAGTGGTAGGGGTGGGGTGTTTAACGTGACCATATTTCATGTTACACCCTGAATATGAGTGTAACATGAAACATGGACTAAAGAGGTACACGTAGCCTTTAAACAAAACAGTTGCCTAAATACATAGAGACATCCTTTCCAATCTTCAGAAAATCATGCCTGGCTTCCGGAATCACATAGCTCTCTGTACATCTTCCAGATGTACATGAAAAATGTTGAATTTCCAGATCACATGTCTACAGGAATATTCAGTATTTAAGAAGCCAAATTTGTGATGTTCATAACTTGCAAATAAATTTGCTTAGCCCTACTCTTAATTGCTCCCCACTGGGATTGCCCCTTCCTCGCTCTGTTCCTTCAGCACTGACTGGATGGACGGACAGACAGAAGAGGGGGCAGGAACAGTTGGCTCTGCCTCTCTAGAGGCTGCCAATCAGGCAGCGGGGTGGATCCCAACAATTTTGTCAGGTTCTTTCGCAGCTGCAGCGCAGTCAGCATAAAGCGGGCTATAGCTTGCTGTATGCTGAGTTTTGGGCAAAAGAGAACTAGGACCATGAAAAAAGGTTAGGTCATGTGGGCTTGCAAGCCCCCCCATGCAATAGCAGATGGTGGTGACAGGTCCTCTTTAAAAGGTGATGCTGGGGGTCCAAAAGACCCTCAGTGTCACCTTTACACTAGAAATGTAATCGTCTACACTAGAAATGAAATCGTCAGTCACGAAGGGGTTAAAGCCCATTTGCACCTTTGCGGTGGTATTTTTTTTTTTCCTAAAAACATATGCCAGCAATGTACACCGAGTGTACATGAGGCAGACATGTGCAGTTGCTGTATATGAAAACAGAAACGTGCGTTTTGTTAGCTTTCCTCTACATATCCTCATGGAAATGGCCACTTCTGTGCTCTGCAAGCATTCTGTGAATATTATAACTGAGCTCTCCACTCCATCATTAGTATTCATAGTGGCACTCCCTCCCTTCCCCCCTGGACAGTGTATTGTGTACAAAGGCGGAGCTGGTGTTTAATGATTGCGTTGCACAGAATCACAGGGAGGGGGGGCAGCTGTTTACAGCCTTCTTTACAATTTGACCCTAGTGCCAGACTGAGTTTGCGGTGCAGAAAATGTTCAACTTGTAGGACTCAAGCCTAACAAAAAGTTCATTAAAAAAAATAAAATATGAAGAAAGCCTTCAATGTGAGTTATGAAAATGAAAACGCATACATCACTGTACCTCTACATTACCACAATAAATAGTAATTGCATACAAAAGTTGGAAAGGTGAAATGGAGTAACAAAGGGGTCAATTCACAAAGCTCAGCGTAATGAGTAGAAGTTAATTTATCTATCCTTATTTTCCCACTCTTATTTTGCTTGCCGAAACATGCAATTCACAGAAGCTGGAATTGTGAATGCACATGCAGTTTAACATTCCTTAAAGTGTTATTTTAACATCACACACTTTTACACATACATATTTGGCGGCGTATAAGATGGGTTTTTAGACGCAAAAACATCGCCCGAAAATCGGGGGTTTGTCCTATACGCCGGGTATACTGTATGTAGCTTAGGCTACATACAGTATACCGCGCTAAACCAATCACGGCAGGCTTTGTATTCATTAATACAAAGCCTGTATTAAGGAATACAAAGCCTGCCGTGATAGGCTCAGCGCGGTATACTGTATTTAGCTGAAGGATGGAACCCGGAAGCTTAAGGATACTGCGGGATCGTGGACAAGGTAAGACACTGTAATCAAC